TGCTTTTCCAATTTCTTCTTCTTCTACAGCTTTATGCTTCAACTAGTCCAGAATGCAGCTGCAAGAATTCTGACAACAGCTGTTCATTCAGACCATATTACAATTGTGTATTGGCTTCACTGGTTCTCATTTTACTTCCAAGCTCAGATCAAGCCACTCATTTGCTGCCGAAACCCTCAAGAGTTTTGAAACAGATTGCCTCAGCAACTAAATCCCCTTCCCCTCCCCATTTGAACTTTCTTGGGCTCTGACCATATTGGTTGGAAGAGACCAGTAGCTATGTTCCCAAAACACACACACACACACACACACACACACACACACACACACACTATCTATCTGTCTGTCTGTCTGTCTGTCTGTCTAGTTCTCAACAATCAAGAACTTATGATAGAAGTATATGAGACTGATGATTCACTGTACCGGTTCTTGTGTGATCTTAACACACCCTTAACTTGAGGCTGTTAGAATTAAGCATTGCCGTGATCAAAGACTTGATAAGAAAGGACAGCATGCATAACAATATTTCAGACACTTGAAATAGTGTTCAAAATAAGGCTACAGAGAAGTACGGATAACAGTAAGTCAGTTTTTACAATGGTTTTGTCCAGCAGGTAACTACTGACAATTATCCCCACCTGTATTACAGAGAGAAATGCCAGAGGCCTTCCCTATGAGCTGTTACTGAGCCATGAACCCTGATTCTCTGCTCAGGAAACTCCATGAATATGGATTAGGGAGGCTTCAGCATGAGCAAGGAGAACTCAAAAACACCATCCAGCAAGCATGTAAGAGAATGCAATTAAGATACAGTGCAGAATAAGGATGAAGGGATAATTTCTGATTTATTTAATTTTGATGTGGTGCCCTCCAAGGCCAAATAAACTTTTATCTATTTTGAAATGTATAGGGGATCCTTCTCCTCCCCCCCCCACCACCGATACAGCCACTCATTTATTCCCGGCCTGAACTAGGCCAGATAGAGAAGGCAGTGTCCAAACGTTTTGCATGTCCTATAAAAGGCACTTATGGTTCTTCTCAACTAGTTTAGGATGATTTTTTTTCCCTATCATGAAGACCTGGAGGCATTTCCTTGCCTCTTAAGCCTGCTAGCACTTGTTAGCCCATGGGGACAATGGAAACTGATTGATGGATAATTACCTGTAGCAACAAATACTCTGCATTATGGTGTTGAGAAATAATAATCACTTGGAAAGAACAATCACTTAGAAGGGTGTGGGGGCTTAAAAACATCTGCCAACTTTGACTGGGTAATTTAAATAACTGTTAAAAGGGGGACAGCACCTGGGAGAATGATTAGAAATGTTGTTTTTTTCTGTGCAAGGGTTTGGCTGGATTTTAAAATGGCAGAGCTGACGTGGCTGCAGAGTTGGCATTCCCCCATGTGCTTGCTCCAGAACTTCCTGAATATTGCCTTTATGTGTTGAATATACTGGCAATTACCCTCTCCCCAAGTTGAGGGTCTTCAGTACTCTGTTACATACTGGCTCCTCAAGAGCTAGCAGACTATAGTATGTGGGAGAAATAAAAGGAGATTTCCTTCCATTTTGTGCAAGCAGCAGCTGAGGTCTACACCAGCGCCTCAGGAGATCAGGACAATTACGCACCAACATGGTTATGGTAGCAACCAAGAAACATTTACAGTCCAATTGTTACGAGAAAGAAAAGTAACTTTCAGCTGAAGACATCTATGTGAAGCATTCTTTCTCAGTGCTCAAAATAACACTAACTCGCTGAACTCAAGATGAAAAGAGGAGAAATAAGTTCAAATATCTGTATGCTATTTGGGGTAGATTTGTTGAATTTGTATTAGTGAAAGGAAAGGGGAAAGCCTCTAAACAACAGTCTATACAATTTTGGAAAGGAAGCTTGTAATAAAAGTATTGTTCTAAGGGGTACTGTGGGGTGCACGGTAAAAGTTAGTGTACAGTAAGCGCTATGGGGGTACTGTGGGGTGCACGGTAAAAGTTAATGTACAGTAAGCGCTATTATTTGTATTTTTGTATTTGTTTTTGTTCTGAAAATAATAAAAATCATTTAAAAGCAAAGTGTGCTGCTTCTATACTGCCCCATTGCACTTCTCTGGGTGGTTTACAAGTTAATTATGGAGGCTACACATTCCCCCCCCAGCAAGCTGGGTACTCATTTTACCGACCTCGGAAGGATAGAAGGCTGAGTCAGCCTTGAGCCGGCTACCTGGATTGAACCCCAGGTCGTGAGCACAGTTTTGGTTACAGTACAGCAGTTTAACCACTGGCGCCACAAAGCTCCTTAAAAACAACAACAATAACACTAACTCTCTAAAAACAACTGTTACTACCTCTCAGGGAATGAGAAGTTTCTCTGTCAGCTTCTCTGGAGATTCTTAGTGCTCAAAGAAAATGGAATCAAACATATTTTCCACTACATAAATATCTAGTTGTACCCAAATCATAGCTTCACTTTCAGTGATTTCCTACCTTAAACAGTCAAAAGAGAGATGAAAAGGGAAATGGCCTTTCCTAGAATTCTCCCTTTACACTACAAGATTTTTTCAGATATGAGCCTTGGCAACCAGTTTTGTAAATTAAGGCCATATTGATCTTCCAATAACCAATCGCAGATCAAAGCATGCTGGAATGCACAATATAAAGGTGATGGAATGCACATTTTGTGACAAATCAATGTTTTCCTCTATTGGAAGGAATACTAATTCTAAATACAAGTCAACTGTTTCATACTATTGACTCCAAGGTTAACAAGCTGCATAGCACAATTCATCTCATGCTTCCCAACAGTTTAATCTGAGAACATGAATTTTTAAAATAAAGATACAAGAACCATGCAGACGTTGGAAAGAAATAATCCTATACTGACGATATTGACTATGCACCACACAGAAAAGCCAAACATACATAGCATCAAAAAAAGTTCTCCAATTCGTATTAGGAGGAATCAACCCAAGGCCAGTCTTACAATATGTTTGAAAGATATCTTGCATATGTTGGTAGCCAGTGAGGGGGAAATGCTGGGGCTCAAATACATATCCTGGCATCAACAAGTTAGCAGAACTAAATGTAAGAAATGAAAACATTGTGTTGAAAGAATTCAAAGTTTTGGAACACAGTCAACATGACCAACTGCCTAACCCATGTTACAGATTTCGTGTGGCTAATTTGATGTTGCAATATATGAAGGTTTGATGTCCATATAAGGTGGTAAGTTTGATCCAAAGTGACTGATTGGGTAGCTGCATTATTTTGGAAAAAGTATATTAGTTGATGCAACAGCATGAAAATGTGGTATTGGCTTCTTACTCTGCTTGCACTTTTCATGAATGGAATAAAGCTTTCAACAGCCTTACTTCTGAGCAGGCACATTTGTATTTGTCAATAACCTACTCACATAACTTGTACTTGCCTAGTATAACCTAAGAGAATAACATTATTGTATTGATTTTATTTACTGTTTTAGTATGATACCTGTTTAATTCTTTTCTTAATATTTGTATATTTAATGTTTTTAGCTTTTAAATATTGTCCTTTTAATGTTGTAAGCCACCTTGGGTCCTTTTAAGGAGAAAGGTAGGGTAAAAAAATATTTAAAATAAATAAATTAGGGGTGTGTCATTTGAGTCTGTTTCCCCAGGCAGAATTCTGGGTGTTCCAGTCCACAAACACATATTTACAGACACCTTCATTTCAATCACCTGAACAGGTCTGCAAGGGCTCCTTCTCAGCAAATCATTCTCAACTTTAAGTAACCTAGGTGCTCTTAGACTGCAACTCCCAGAAGCCTTCACCACTAGCTGCGCTGGCTGGAGTTTCTGGGAGTTGCAGTCCAAGAATACCTGGGTTACCTAAGATTGGGTAACCACTGTTCTAAGTTTTCCTTTCTTGATGCAATGCTTTCTGGGAGAAAGCTACCTCAGTCTTCATGGGAGTGGTACTCTTTATCCTCTATAGAGGGTATGTCCTGAGGATTCTGCTTCAAAGGTGGGACAATAAAGTAGTAAAACACAGGTAGCACTTCGGTCTGGGGTAGAGGGAAGGGATTCTGTCCTTAAAGGCTCCCTCTGCAGCTGCCTCTGTAAGTAGAACAAGGGTAGGTGACTTCAAGAGTTGAAGAAACCATGTTCTGCTCCTAGAATCCTCTGGAGGTTATACAAACCACCAAAAATGCCTCCCAAAAGATCACAGAACAGATGTAGACAGAGGTCCACCTCTGGCCTTGGGAAGTAGACACTTTTTGTTATAAATTTGTGGGGATGGGGGGGGGTCTGCATTTTGTTTAAAGGTGAAATTACTAGTGAATTACTACTAGAGATGGGGGTATTCGTATTCCTAAACGAATACAAATATAACTGCACAGGTGGTGTTAATGAGGGTCCAGCCCCATGGGGCTGAATAGTCCACTCACCGATCCACCACGGACGTGGAACACGCAATTCTACAAATGGCTCCACAGCGTACAATCCGCTCGCCACTCCTCGACCTCGCAGCGAGGCTTGTACTCCCACCTCCTGCCAGGAGCGGCCAACCATTTGTAGAATCATGCTGTCCACAGTGGATCGGTGAGTGGATCGTCCGGCCCCATGGGGATAGACCCTTGTTAATGCCACCTGTACGGAGATATTCATATCCCTATATGACTGCCCCCATCTCGAATTACTACTCTTGGAGGCTTCATCTTTTTTGTTGCTGTTGGGAAAGAAATGTTTGGCAGGATTTTAATTTTGTTTTATTCTTGAGACTGTGTTCTCTCATTCTCTCTGTGTAGGTCTTTTATTAACCATATGGGTTCTAAATCCAACTGCTAGATCCTACTAGAGTTGCAACTACAATAGGCCCACTGAACCAACTGAATTTACAGAGGAGCTGCCTTACCACATCCCCACTGGTTCACTGGGCCTGCTCTAGTTGTGACTCACTGTGTTGAGCAACAGGTTTTCAGCCATGAGGTGTTAAAAGGACTGACGATAACTGACACAAGTGAGTTACCTTGTAGATGTCGAGGAATCCACACTGATGGTCAAATCGTGTGTAGAGCTCATTTAGCATACTGATCACCTGCATGGGAGTACACTGGGCACAGACAGCAGTGAATCCAACAATGTCTGAGAAGAGCATGGTAACATCATCAAATTTCCGGGCTTGGACCTGTTGCCCTTGCCACAGCTGCTGAGCCACTTCTTCCGGGAAGATAGAAATGAGGAGATCTACCGTTTTCTTCTTCTCTTCTTCCAGAGCTTGGTGTGTTCGTTCCAAAGTTGCTTTGAGTTTGTCCATCCGCTTCTTCAAGCCATCCTGGGCTTTAGCCTGCTCCCCAACCAGGATGACATCACGGGTAGCATCGTGGATTGGTATGTCTGAAAGGTGAAGGCCTCGGCCCATCAGTTCATCCAGCTTGTCCACACAAGGCGAGCCCAAAAACAAAATTGAGTTTGATTCTGGAACGTGAATCATTTGTCCTTTGATTTCCATCACCTGCACCGAACAAAAACAAACCAAAACAAGTAGTGAATCAATAAGCGGCAGTAATTAGGTGAACATAACATCTGGAGATAAACTCAAAAGCCTGCTGAAGATGGAACAGATTATTTTAGCTAATGCTTCCCTGGGTTCATCTTTTCTCATGAACATTATGTAACAGATATGAAAATCAATCTGCACCTGGCTTGCCACCATACATTCTCTTTGGATTTGCATTGTCCAAAGAGTCCCTATGACTTCACTGTCAGTTAATGTTCAAGACTATTGATAAATTACACTAAAAGACAAAGCCACACATAATCTTTAAATGAGAGCAGAACACAAAAAGAGGGTTTAAGATCAGCGCCGGTCCTGCCAATAGGCAAAATGAGTCAACTGTTCCATGTGCCAGATGCTCAAAGGTAGCAGCAGAAGCTCTGAATAGCCCCTTCTGAGTCCCACAGCCAGGGGAATGAATCTGCTGTCAGATTATGTGATGTAGAGTCATTTGAACTACGTTAAAACACAGCTGGGGGCTGCAAATGATGACATGGATGGGATTTATTCTTTTCTTCCTCTGTAGCACAGGCCCAGACAAGATAAACTCCTAAAATTCCTTCTAGCTCCTTCTATTTGGCCTGCTTTGGAATTCCAAAACTGTCCGAGGTATGGTGTGACTTAGGTACATAGGTCTGTACATTAGGAAATAATAGATGAACAGCCTCGAGGGGAAATATGTGTGATGTGGAGATCTGATGAGCAAAACTCAATATAGTCTATACTATTAAGGATCTTTTAGAGAAAAAATAGCATCATATTATATTCAAAACTGCTCATGCATGTGACAGCCCACTTTCAGTTTAGACTGCTATTCCTTTTGAGATGCTGCATTTTGCTTTTGTGGATATGACAGAGCATAACAATGCCCAATGGCTTCTGAGGCAAAGTATCAAAAAAGATGTTCATGTCCAGATGAGACCCCAAAGGCTTCCTGTTGCAAAATGAGATCCAGAGCTCATTCATCTACAATCTATGTACCAGTTAGAGACACATCTAAAAATTTGTCTGGTTCCCATTTTAATACAAAACAACATAAAGCACCCTTCCTGAATCAATATGCCAACCAGAATACAATTATCCTTCATTCTTTGCCCTTATTCACAGTTTGTAATGGAATTCACTCATCAATAACTGCATGTAGACATGTACGCCTGTCTCTATGATATCAACTACAATCCCACTGGTTATGTTGGCAAAAGTGAAGTGAAAGAAAGTGAAAAGAAAGTGAAACCAGTCCTGTGGTTACAGGAGGTCCTACTATACAATGTTTCAGTTCTGAAGACCAGATTACCCACTGTTTAAGATGTTTTGCTCAGTATAATGCAATACAGGTTTCAGTGCCTCCCTTCTGCTCTCCCCATCTATTTCATGCACACAATCTATCACTACTTTATGGACTTAGATATTTATCTGTTTCTTTTAAGTGCAGTTAGAATGCCGCTATAATGCTCAGGTGACGTAATGCCCAGCTTACATACATAGACTGTAAATGTCCACTAACAGAAGGAGAGTGGAGAACCTTTTTCTTTTGGTTTGAAACCAAATTCCAATATGGGAAGCATCTCAGGAACTGCATTTCAGCAACAGATGAGGTTAACTGCACAAGGCAGAACCAAAGCAAACTGTCCGTGGCCAAAAGTAAACATTATCAATTTGGATTAGTATAATAGGCATGTGAAAGCTTGCCAAGTCTGCAAACAATGGGTCCTGTCCTATGCAGAATCTCCCCAGTCTGCAAACCAAAACTTCCATTCCATGTAAAACTTCCCAGGTTTGCAAACCAGAGTTCATTTCTATGTAAAATGACCGAAAGAAGGGGAACTTAAGAAGGGGAACTTCAGCAGACCAGTTCTTGTGTCTTAAAATTCTTTGTAAGCTGCTTTGGAGCCCTTTTAGCAGGAAAGTGGGATATAAAGTAAGCAAGTAAATAAAAGATAAATAGGTAAAAGGAAACACACAATGACTTCAACTGAACAGGCTTAGCCTTGGTCCAACCTGGCATCAGGACTACACAACATCAAAAACCGCAGCCCTTTCCAATCTACAGTATCCTGGTTCTGTGACACCATATATACACACTGTTGTTTGCCACATATAGCTTGCCTTGGTGTAATGAAATAGGATTTTTTTAAAAAAATAGTTTTTTTCTCCACACAAACTATGTTTAGGAACAATGTTCATTTTATCGTAAAATACATGCTTCCAGGATACATCAATATGCAGCAGGAAAAACTGTTAGCTGTGACAAGTGTGAACAAACCACAAGAGTTCATTGTCAGAGAGGGTTTTATCTAGTTTTTTTTTTGGGGGGGGTCTTTAGACTTTAAAACTGCAAAACTGCATAGAAGGACTAAGGGGAAATAGTTTTAGTGGCATAAAACAGAAATGGACTCATTTCAGCAATGGCAACAAGAATTTCAATACATTCCTAAGAAATTCTCAAACTTAAGTTTTTGAAATATGCTGAAATAAAACTTTACAAAACGCCCTCATGTTTAGATACTATGTTTAGGCAATAATACAAACAATTAGGATACAGTTTTACTATACAGATATACTGCCTGGGTCCCTTTTAAGAAAGTGGGGTAAAATTATTTTAAACAAACGAACAAACAAGAATAAGAGTAAGTTTAAGACCCAATGAGCACAGTGGAATCTACTTCTGAGTAAACATGTAGAGAACTGCATTGCCAGAATATTCAGGCATTAAAGTTTAGTAAAAAAAAAAAAATCACAGTTTGCTGTTTGGATAATAAAGTATGTCTGAGACAGAATGTCTGGTTACCATTTAATTTAGTATCAAAAATCACTATAACTTCTGGGATTGTCCTCACAATGTACAAGTGGCGCCTCACTTAGCAATGTTAATCCATTCCAGAAAAAATATCGATAAGTGATTTCATCGCTAAGCGATTTTAAAAAGCCCATAGGAACATATTAAAATGCGTTTAATATGTTCCTATGGGCTAAAAACTTACCTTAAAGCGAAATTCCTCCATAGCGGTGGCCATTTTGGGTGCCTCTACAGCGAGGCAAAACAGCGGTGGCCATTTTTTTGCGGTGGCCATTTGCCATAATCGCTTCCCCGCAATCATCGCAAAGCGAATTTTAGCCATAGGGGACATCGCAAAGCGATTGCTCCAGCGATGGTTAGGAGTAGTGGGCTAAAGCAGAACTGGATTACAAATAAGCCTGTTCTATATTCTCTTTCTAAATAAGTCAAAAAGGGACAGATCAACTTTGCAGATGTTTGCTAGATGGTCAACATGTTTTGGTGAATCAGTCTGAAACTGGTGAGGCCTCTAAACTCAGTGAACTCCTGAGTTATCAGAAACACAACAGAGTACTGTATATGTCTCTGAATGTCCACACTCTGCCATTTAGGCAGTGAGAAGGAGTCACCTGTGTGAATGAACAAGCAGGAATGTACCAGTGGAGTAGGATGCAGGTCAAGTCTTCATTGGTGGTGCCAAGACTGCAGAATTCCTTTCACCTGGAGATCCCTCACACACTTTCTATTTCAATATTTTAATGCTTACTGTAAAGTCATTCATTTCAGGAAACATCTGCTTTGTTCTGAGCTTTCATTATTGTTTCTCCTTGACTTTTTAACTGCTGGTTTTTAACCTGATGCTTCTGATTTGGTATCTAACTGCTTCAGTTTGATACAATTTGTTTCCACAGTCGCAGTTTGTCAGCTGCATCCAAACGCTTCGTTGTTTTTAATCTTGTAAGCTAATATTCCTGTCTGAAGACAGAAATGTAGGTAATAATAAATCAAAGATAAGCTCCGGAGACTTTAGTCCTGTTGATTTTCCAATGAAGTAAATAGTTATCTGATACAGCTATGGCTTGGATTTATTTTCAGCCATCACATAAGAGTAGAGAAACTTAAACGATCTGTAAACTGAGGGACACAGTACAACTATTTCACTAGGTTAAGAGCAGGAACTTTCTGTAGATCCAGGGGCCATATATGACCAATCCTGGATCTCTGAAGGCCACTCCTGCCTTGAAACCGTCTTTTTAATTAGTATTTTATTTTTAATTTTTTGTTATTTAAAAAGTCCCCCTATGGCCTTGTAACGTTCAGCCCTGCCCTCACCTGTCCGTCACAGCTGGGCAGTGGAACAGCAGCCAATGAGGGGACGGAAGGTGGTGCTAAAGGGGGAGGAGCTGGGATATAAAGGGGTCTGTATGCTGTTTGAGAGATCAGTTGGAGTTTGATAGAGTTAGAGAGTGAGATCTGGAGAGATCTAGTTTGTGAGAGAAAGAGGCCTGCGTGCCTGAGTGTCAGTGAGGGGAAGTCTGTGTGAGTTAGTGTTTTAGTAACCATGATTGACAACTTGATTCTATACCAGTGATTTACTCCTTTTATTTTGTACAAATCAATAAATACTTTATTTTGTTTGAAGAAACCCTTGTCCTTTTGATTTAAAGGAAAGGTTGGTGGCAGCAAGAGTGTATAGTGGCGTGGTGGGCATGCTGAGAGGCCTGAGTAGGAGGTGACCTCAGAGTGGCCCAGCCTCGTTACAGGCCTTAGCAAACCTGCCTGCTATCTTCCTCCTCTGAAGTGTATTAGGCCCAAGAGGACTATTTTTCCCTCAGAGACAAAATTACTGGAAGCAACATCCAATTTCAAACACACACACTGCACTCCAGTGCTAGAGAGAGACACTTTGCCAATTAGGCATGGAACGTTTGGAATTTTTGGATCAAAGGCCCCAAAATTCTGCAGAAATTCCCCCAGCTGGTAGGTAAGTATTTGAGAAAGCTGGCAGGATAGTTCAATGAGTGCCAGATGTCAGGATTTCAATTCCATTCTGTACCTCCAGGGAGAAGAGACAAATTGTGTAATCTGCACGACCTGCATAATCACTGAGTACTCCCCAGAGGAAGGGAATGATAAACCACGTCTGAGTACTCTCTACAGTCACCATAAGTTGGAATCAGCT